CGATTCTCCCATCTCTGGTGCTGAAGTCACTGAGGTGGTTAAGTAGAGGTGGTCCCTCTACTTAAAAAAGGGGACCAGAGGGTGTTTTCTAACTACAGAGGAATCAAACTCTTAAGCCTCCCTGGTAAGGTCTATTCCGGGGTTCTGGAAAGGAGGATCCGTCGGATAGTCTAATCTCGGATTCAGGAGGAGAAGTGTGGTTTTTGTCCTGGCCGTGAAATACTGGATCAGCTCTACACCCCCTTGATCCTGGAGGGTGCATGGGAGTTTGCCTAACCAGTCTACATGTGTTTTGTGGATCTGGAGAAGGCATTTGACCGTGTACCGTCGGGAGATCCTGTGGGGGCTAATCCGGGAGTTGGGAGTACCAGGCCCTTTAATAAGGGCTGTTAGGTCTCTGTACGGCCGGTGTCAGAGCCTGGTCCAGATTGCCAGCAGTGAGTCGGAGTTGTTTCCATTGAGGGTTGGACTCCACCAAGGTTGCCCTTTGTCACAGATTCTGTTGATAACTTTTATGTACAGAATTTCTAGGCGTAGCCAAGGTGAAGGGTCTGTTTTGATGGCCTTAGGATTCTCTCTCTCTCTATTTCCATCACCAGGGTTCTTCATTTAGCCATTTGAGGCTATTAAGGCTGATCAAAACACAGGTTATGATGGAAACAGACTAAGGCTAATAATTAGAGTGGAAATAAACTACTTATCATGCTGTTGTAATCATTTATTACGGAAATATTATGCAAAATGACAGAAATAACCAGAAAGAAAAAGATAGAAATTGTACAAGGCTGCTAATCAATATTTCTGCATTGACCAGGTCATTATTAACACATGAATAAAAATCTATATTTTTTGGATGCGGAAGATCTGTGTTTGTTTTTTTTGTATAGAATGTTTCTTTTTTTATCCCTGTTTGCAAAAAACATATATAGTATATTTAAAAACTAAGGTATTTTTTTAGGGTTTAACAAGCCTTTTCATGAAAGATAAAACATTGATCCTAACAATCTTCTAAAGTTCGGTCTTTGGTTGAAGGCCGAGCAGAATTATTATGGGCTTCAGTTGCCCTTTATTTTATGCCATTTGGCTCATCGAAGTGAGTTTCTTCCTTAAAATTATTCTGCATTTAGGCCTCAGGATTAGTTTTGCTTGGATAGAAAGAGTCCTGTACCTTTGGCTACCTTTGCTATAAAAGTTCATGGAAATGTATGTAAAACAGCCTAATGACGTATGGAAAATTTTTAAAGTCAACTGCTCGACATCAGTAGTCCAGCAAAATGGCAAACAAAAAAGCCAGACAAAAAGTTCAAATCTTTTTTTTTTTTATTTCAGTTTTTATTAAACTTTTTTTTTCTGTTAAAGACTGGATGGATAAATATTTACCATTTATTTCTAAAGAACCTACTAGCCCATTGCTTTATCTTTCATTTACCTCCTAAACACAGAATAACAAGGTTATTTTTTCTTTTATTCTTATCATAATAATAGTAATAATTGAATTCTCTGCCTTTAACCCATCCCCATTGGGAGCAGTGGGGCTGCCACTGTGTAGCGCCCGGGGAGCAGTGTGGGGTTAAGGGTCTTTCTTAAGGACCATAGTGCAGGCTGTGGGGATCGAACTGAATACCTGCAACCTTCTCAGAGCACAAGCGCACTGCTCTAACCCACTAGGCATGGTGTAACCAATTAAAAATCAGTGGGGTCCGAATAAAGAAAATCAACAACCAGGATGACATTTTTAATTATAATCCGTTAATTTAAACAGCATTTAACACTGAAATAAAATTAGGTGTTTATGCATTCATGTTATAAATTGAATTTTGAATAGAAAATATAAGAAATAGCAAGTTTTTCCATTTTAAAAACTAATTTTTTTCTGTTTGGTATATAGACAATTTCCTGACTCACTTTTTAAAAATAAAATATCTGAACTGACCGTTGTTTTTTGTTTTGTTTTTTCTTTCTTTTTTATGGCTTAATGAGAGCAGTGGGCTTTAGGCTGCCCTGCAAGGATTTAAACCTGGGTTTCAATGACAGTGCTCATTCATGTTCACGGTAGAGAATCCTGCTTCACAGTAGCAGGTTGAGCCAAACATACTCAAAATGTGCAGGGTCACCTTTGAGCACACCATTTCACTTTTCGTTCACCATTTCACCGCAGTTCTTCCAGCAGTCCACACTTTCTCTTTCTTTTTTTCATTGTCTTCTCCTTCTTTCTCACCGCCCGCTTGCCACAGGTTTGCCTGCTGTGTCTAAAAGTAGCAGCAGCAGCAACCCAGACTGACAGCAGCTCATTGGCTAATTTGTATCACATGTAGCCTAGTGCCGACGCTCAAGATGGCTTTGGTAAATAGATAGATAGATAGATATAGATAGATAGATAGATAGATAGATAGATAGATAGATAGATAGATAGATAGATAGATAGATATAAGTAAATAGGTAGGTAGGTAGGTAGATATAGGTAGATATAGGTGGATAGATAGGTAGATAGATATAGGTAGATAGATATAGATAGATAGATAGATAGATAGATAGATAGATAGATAGATAGATAGATAGATATAAGTAAATAGGTAGGTAGGTAGGTAGGTAGGTAGATATAGGTAGATATAGGTAGATAGATATAAGTAAATAGGTAGGTAGAGATAGATAGATAGATAGATAGATAGATAGATAGATAGATAGATAGATAGATAGATATAGAGAAATATATATGTAGATATAGATTTTGAAATTTGCATTTTCCTATTCTCTAGCTTTTTCTCCGCCTCAAGCTTCTTTTCCAAACAGCTGCTTTATGATCAACTGAAAGCAGTTCCGCGCAAATTAATCGCGATATAATATATTTGATGAAATTGTCTTTATCTTTTTTTTATTTTTTTTATAAACATTTTAAATGCCACGATATTCACATTTAATGCATTTTTAACATTTACAAAATAATTTAATGACAATGATTTGTAATGATCTGCAGAAACCCTGTTTTGCTGCTTTGAATTTAATAATATAGCGCATGCTTTCNTTTTTTTAAATAAAACATTTCAAATGCCACAATAATCAGATTTAATTAGTGCCAATAACATTTACAAAATAATTTAATGACAATGATTTGTAATGATCTGCAGAAACCCTGTTTTGCTGCTTTGAATTTAATAATATAGCGCATGCTTTCCTCAAACTCCAAGGAAGTCGGAGTGGAGCAAGACTGGAGGAAGAGCAGAGGCTGTAGGCTTTGCTTTGCGCAGGAGGTCTGGAGCGCAGCGGAGCGGTGAGGGGAGGACGTGGGATTTCGGGGTTTTAACCACGTTTTGAATCGTTCATCCTCCAACCACTTTTGCTGAAAGTTACATTTTCCCATTTTGTCCTAAAATTAGCTTTGCTCTTTCACCACAGCACGTATATGCGACACAGACAGCACGTTGGATCGAGTGTTTTAACTTTGTGCACCAGCTGTACCCAGTAGTCAATTATAGGTTCCGCCTGATTATCACACTATCCTACTAAACAAAACAATGTTTTTGTAGTCAACATAAATTGTGAACAACATTGTTTTTGTTCCATCAAGTGTTTGTACTTTTCAATGCCTCCAGACGTTGAAATTAATGCTTTTTAATGTTATTTAAGGCCTTGATTTTCAGAAAATGTATTTAATTACTTTTAATGACTTTTAATGACCCGCGGAAACCCTGTATGAAGTCAAGAAAATGACTTCATGCGTTTTATAAAAGGCAAAATAAAAAAAGAAATCAATTCATAGAACTCAATCTTAAAATCTTATTTTAAACTGAAATAAAGTTTTTTATTTTTTTTCAGTGGCCCTACTCCTCTTCCGTATATCCTAAATTTACAGAAGAGGATTAGGGCCATTGAAAAAAATAAAAATAAATAAGTTAACATTTTTAACATTTAATATGGGGAAAAAAAGTCAGTATTGTGAGAAAAAAAGTCAGTATTCTGACTTTTTTCTTATATTAAAATGAAATAAAATTTAAAGAACAGCTATCTTTTTTACATTTTTCAGTGGCCCTACTCCTCTTCCGTATTAATTGGCTGCTGTGGTTTTCTGCATCACATCCCAAGTTATCTGATTGGTTTTAAACAGTTTCTTTGGACTGATAGTCCTGATCTTGGCTTTGAAATCAGGCTTTAGCTGCTGGAGGTGGGCATCGTGGGGTCCCAGAGTCATCTCTGTGTATTTGTTTTGCCCAACCACTAAACCAGGTAATTCCAACCTGCACAATGAAATTAACTGTGCTGATTGGATTCTCCTGCTTCAGTGGATGTGCTGTGTATACCATGAACAGTAGGTCAGTCTGGCTGGCCAGGCTAGGAGAGAGAAGGAAAAACATCTCTGCATCCACCGTGTATTCAAAATACAATTACAACTTTCTGACCTGATCTCTACATATGTGGTTGCAGGTTATAGCACGGGACCAGGAAGCTGTTCTCAGTCAGTCCAGTTGGGGAATAATGGTTCAGAAACTGTCTCAGTTTGGAATCAGAACTGGGACCTTCAACTGCTCCAATGACTATAGGTAAACTCTGCCTTCTTCCTTCCAGAAGATGCTTTTTAAAACGATGAACACTCAGTTTTAACAAAAAAAGGTTTAGTGATTACACAAGTCCTTTTGAATGACCTTTGTTCACACTTTACCCATTTTGGCAGGATGCTTCTGGGATTTTTCTTTTTTTTTTTTTAAATGTATGTGTTTAGGTTGTTTCTGTTTTAAAGTGGATTGAGTTTTGGTCTCTAAAGAAAACAAAAATGAGTTAGCAGCAGGTGCAGCAACACGTTTCAGTGGCAAACATGATAATAATTGTGATATTTATTTAATACTCACAAGTATACAATAAATGCCTGTATATTTCCTTGTACCGTAAATAAAAAAAACATAAAAAAGTCTGAAAAGGGTTTATTGGCAGAAGCAATAAGTTTATAATGCCAACCCTCCATAGCAAAAAAGATGGCTAAAAAAAGAAGACAAGGGATGGCTACCTTTTATAATGCATACCAAAATACAATTTTTGGAAAATAATTAATGTACCATAATAACATTTAGAAAAAAGCAAATACAGCCAATATCGTACTACCTGATTCCTAATATTTAATCATATTATTCTTAAATCTGTTTTTAATCTTTGCCAGAACTAAGGATATTAATAATCAAGTAAGTAATAAAGAAGTCAACACTGACCCCTGCAGGACACCAGTGGTCATTGCCAGTAACTATGAATCAGTATTTTTAATGTGGACATACTATGGTCTATTCTCTAAATAACTCTTGGTCGTTGAAACAGCTGCACTCTTAATTCCATATCTACACAATAATTAATCCTTGACAGTATCAAACGCTTTATTTGGGTCTAACAACACACCTACAGTGTATTTATTGTCAATGGCATCAGATATTTTTTTCTGCAAGATCAACAAGTGCCCGAACAATAGTCCTATCAGGTCAAAATTAGATCGTCTTTTATGAACCGATATTGACCTGATATCAGTATAAATAACATATTCTTTTTGTTTTTTACTACTTTTTATTTGGTTTTCAAAATGTTATATTAAATAGACATTCAAAAACAAACATCGGGAACAAGATGGGTAACTCTCTGCATTGCTGACTTGTTGAATTGGTCTCATGCAAGGTGAGGATTTGACCCGATGTTCTTCTTACCTTTTGTTTCGTTCAGCTCCGAGTCTTTCAAAGGTTCCTGCCTCAGAGAGTAGGTCAGTTTCCCGTTGTCTCAAACAAGCTTTTATTACTCATTTTGAGGTGGGCTGTGTTAAAAAGAATTGATCAGAGAATATCATTTAACAAAAACTCAACCATTTATTATTAACCAATTGGTTCCACAAATCTTAAACAGTATTTCTATCGGCCTGACGATATGTTTTGATCATAATTTTTTCGCTGATATCGGACCGATATCCTTTGTTTAAGGTGAAGGTAAACACTGATATCAACATTACTAATTGGGGAGGTGCTACAGTTGAACTTGGTCTTTGCTTACTGCACACATCTTCTCAGAAACTTGTAACCTGTTGGGACTCTTTTTCAGCTTGAAATATCAAAAATAAACACAGTGTCAACCTTATATTTACCTCAAAAGCTCTAATCCAGGGGTTCCCGAATGTTTCAACCTGTGACCCCACACATAAAAGTGATAAAAACTGGTGAGCCCCTAAAAATATATAATTATTTCACTCTATATGCAAAATTTGTGAAGTAACTATATTCTTTTTTTCAGATACATTCATTTTAATGAATCAAATGTATGATTTTAAATGTAATTTTTTATCATTTAACAGTGCATTTAATTATTTCAGTGTACTTTTTATAATTTAATGGTATATTTACTGTAATATTTAAATCAATATGGATAAAATGTAACATCTAAAAAGCAATATCAACATGTTTTATGGTACATTTATTTATTTCTTCCCCCACGGAGTTTCCTAAGGCCCAGTTGGAAACAACGCTTTCAGTTTTTTACGTGGATTATCGTAAAAACCTTTCTAACATCTTAGTTTTCCTCTGTCCAACAGGTCATGTATCAAACGTCATTGGCAACACTCGACTCTCATCATGTCGGCTCCTCAAACCTCAGCTTCCAAGGGTAAAGTCATGCTAAAGGAATATTCTGGACAAAACATTGAAACTGAGCACATCTTTCGGTGGATGACCTCGCATCTTTCCCGTCGAATCAAAACCGTCCGTCGGTCCGCTCAGCTACGTAAGGAGTGGCGCTCTGACCCAGCTCATCCAATCAAGATGTTTCTGTTCTCTCATCTGGCCCAACCTCCTGCCTTCTTCTCTTCGCTGTCGGTGAAGTTCACCGGCAGAATCGAGTTTATTTTTGTGGATGTACGTCACTGGGACAACCAGAGCTTCCTCTTAGACATTGGTGTGACACGGAGCCCTGCTTATATACTTAAAATGCCAGAGGGCATCTATCACTATGGTAACAGGTAATATGGCAATATCTACCATTAGTAGTGGTACATTTAAGTAACTGCCCTGAATATTCTTCTTTCATTTATTGTTTTCTTTCTTTCTGAAGTACCGGGGAGTTTCTGTCTCTTGCTGCCATGGATACATTCCTACGTTCGGTCCAACCAGAAGTCAATGATTTATTTGTCCTCAGCCTGGTGCTCATAAATCTACTGGCATGGATGGATCTCTTCATCACACAGGTCGGTCATTCAGTTTTATTCAGATGCTTGATTGACGCCAGGCAAAAAGTGCTTTCACCTGATATTGCTGCTACTACATTAATTAGCCGCTTTAGGTGGGGCACAACTTAATCGAGAACATAAAAAAAAAAAAAAAGATTAAAGGGGAAAAAGTGGAAAAACAACCTAAAAGAATTGATTTAAAAGCATGCGTGAAAGCAGATTATAAAAGACTTTTTAAATTGAACAGTAAAGGGAGATTTTTCATATGCATTGGCAGATGGTTCTGAAACTTCTGCTGTTTCTCAATTCACTAGAACTCGGACTCGTGTCCTCGCCAAGTACGGTATATTCTTGACAAGAACACAGGAAAGTCTGGGCTCTAGGAGAACGGGAGCACGTAGCATGAGTCTGGGTCAATTGGAACAGAAGCGTACTGATGACGTCGCCACGCGTTCGGCTCGTCTGGAGCTGCATTTCATTCCTGTTATTAATTAATTATTACTTTTTTAATTGAGAGGGAGAATAATAATGAACACAGTCAGATAAACACAAATCAAATGAATATTTTGCCAAATAGAACAAAAAAATTGCCATCAGAGCCAGCGGTCCTTCACACACGGCTATGCTGCTGAAGACGGGCTGTAGTTAGCTCTGGCTGCTGTTAGCCTTGAAGGTTGCCGCGGTCCTCTCAACGTTTATTATGCATTAAATTGGTAAATGGGCCTCATAGTGACACTTGAAAGTATAATATTAGTGTCTTAAATGGTCTTAAAACATACTTTTATTGAACAGCAGCAAAAGAAAAGTGAACTTTTAACTTAATACTCTGAGCTCTGTGAGCGCTAACCTGGAAGCTGCTGCTGCCGCAGTGCATGCTGGGACAGCTGTCAGTTTCAGGAATGGACAAGTCTGCTGTGATGCATGCTGGGTAAGGAGGGAGGGGCGAGAACAACATCTGGGTACTTTCTCCGTTCTTGGTCTACTGTTCTTGTGAATTGGAACAGTACATTTATTGGTTGATCTCTGTTTAAAGCCAGACAGCTGCATAAAAATTTGTGAAATTGTCTTACTGCAATGACAGATTGTTGTGCTTATTTAGATTCATATTCTAACAGATTTGGCTCTTCTTTCCTATGTGAAGCACAAAACAAGATCAGAAAGTCTTTTTGGTTGGCTCCAAGATTGTAAGATTTGAATAGATCGACGTTTTTTGCATGTAGAACGTTAGAGGTTTAAGGACAACCAGGCTTTGTAAATAGTCACACAATATCTCCTGATCATCTGCCCTCAGGTGATAGGAAATATTTATCCACCTCCATAACCTAAGATTAAATAAACACAGTGTACTGCCCTTCAGCTGTTCTTCTGGAACAAAGTTCTCTGATAAGCTGATCGCTTGTTTTATGGACGCAGGCCCAGACTTACACAGACATCTCATAAACAAACTTTAGAGTTCTGTTAGCAGACTATATGTTAGCAGAACCTAATTTAGTTAAAGTTAAACTGTTATAAAGATTTCCAAAGTTACCCGCCAAACCAAAAGTTCATTCTAATATTAGATGTTATTAAATTATTGGATCTGGGCCCAGCTACACGCACAGCTTTGGTGCTGGTGGACTGGTGTCCTGCAAGCTTTAGGAGTTTAGTCTAGTTTAGGTTTAGTTTTAAGTTAGATTTTAGTTAAATTTAACTTCACATTAGTTTAAGTTCCGTTTAGGTTTAGTTAAAGTTTAGTTTTATTTTACGTAAGTACAGGTTTAACTTTAGTTTAAGAATAATTCAGTTTTAGATTCAGTTTAACTTTAGTTTAGCTCAAGTTTAGTTTAGATTTAGTTTAAGTTAAGGTTAGTTTTGATTTTACTTTAGTTTGAGGTTTAACTTTAGATTAACTTTAGTTTAGGTTTAATTTAAATTTAGTTTAGTTTTCAGTTTGGTTTAAGTTTAGTTTAGTTTTAGTTTATTCAGACACATCCAGTCACATTGTGTTTGCACAGACAATTTTATGCCTGAAAGGCTTATGAATGCCTGCTGTCTTAAAAGAAATTTAAGCTACACTCTAATGAAAAACAATAAACAGTTTAGTTATAATACAATAAACTATATTTCACTTAGGATGGTAATTTTCAAATACAATGTTGTGCATAGCTTTTTTAAAACTAACTGATGTACATGTCTTAAACTCTAGCAATATTCCACTTTCTAACTCTGTCAAATAAATACATCTCATTTGGATTTCCTTTTTGAACTTTTGTAAGGTGAATTTACATTTTCTCTAAAATCTTATTTATTTTCTTAAACAGAAAAGAACTTCTGTATACAATCAGATAGTGATTTAATTTTGCTCTTTACATGAATTGCATTATTCTATAGTATACAAGATCTTTAAAGGGGCGTCGCCGCCCCAATACCTGGTCCAAATCTATGAAGGGTTTCTTTCTTAGGACGTTTAATGCTGCCATAACTGGGGACTGTTTTAGTTTATTAGGGTAACACACTCCTGCTTGTTCTGTTGACCCGGTAGTTACGGTTGCTCTTGTTTGATATGTTAGTTGCAAACGTTGTTTTTATTTGGGTTAAATATGGCAAAAAGGATTACATTATATAAAGAGTTTACTTAGAGCTCACACTCTTCATAAATAGGTCACCGTGTTATAAAATCATAGGTCTTTTCTTGTTGCTGTTGATATTTATTTGTCATTTTCAGTCATTGTTATTTATTTTCTTTGACAGGGAGCAACAGTCAAACGATTCGTTGTGCTGATCAGAACACTTGGAACCTACAACTCCGTAGTATTGGTGTCTTGGCTTCCTGTTTTGGTAGGAAATTATCTACATCACATTCCTTTGTTAAATTTATATGATGTTCGTCGATTTATTAATTCATTATTCATTTGAACAACCAATGTTCTTCAAATTTATGTTTTTTATTTAATTCGACAAGTACCGTATTTTCACGACCATAAGGCGCACCGTACCAAAAGGCGCAGTCTCAGTTATGTGTGCCATTACTGTATTTAACACACACATAAGGCGCACCGGATTATAGGGCACAGGTTTTATATACCGGTGCATGTCCTCTAGTACATTTAAATACCTCTACTGCATATTTAAAAATAGAGCGGGAGCAAAACTGAGTATGATTGTGCTTTATTCATGTATTTATTACAAAGTATTAATCAAACTCATCAAAGTCATCATCCTCTGTTTCTGAATTAAACAGCTGCGCTAAATCAGACATGCCAATTTCCCCTTCTTCGCTGTCAGAGTCACTTTCCGTGCCGGGCGGCTTCTCGGAAATTATGCCGGCTTTTGCGAAAGCTCGAACAGCAGTGCCAGCAGACACGTTAGTCCAAGCATCTACAATCCATCCGCAAACAGTGGCGTAACTTGCCTGGCTCTGCCTTCCACTTTTCATAAAACTGTGGTCTCCGTCGGTCATCCATCACTCCCACGCCGCTCGAGTCTTTCCTCCCACTCGGGCCACCTCACCTTATGTCCGCGGAAACTCAGCTGCGTCGTCTTCACCTGTCGGAGTTCGTTTTCCATCTTCCTCCACTTGCGAACCATCGATTCATTAATCTTGAATTCTCTCGCGGCTGCTCGATTTTCATGTTCCTCTTCTTAGCTGATAGCCTTCAGTTTAAACTGTGCTTCATAGGCGTGTCTCTTCCCCCTTTAACATTCTCATGGTGGTCTCAAAAATGTCCGCAGTAACAACACACATAGGGCGCACCACACATAGGGCGCACCGCACATTTTGAGGGAAAAAAAAGACGTTTATATGCGCCTTATAGTCGTGAAAATACGGTATATAGGGAGTGCACACAGTACTAATCCCAAGGCTTTGCACTTTCTACACTTAAATTAATTTAATTCCACAATTAAAACAGATTTACTCTACAGAAAAAAACCTTGCTTTAGAGTGAAAAAAAATTAATTCTTTCAAAAATAACAAAATGAATCGAATGTAAATCAGTAACTCACAGCCTTTTTTATCCATACCGTGTTTAACCACCTTTACTGCAAGTATTGCCAGTTTTGTGTGTTATTAACCACACTTCATTACAAAGTGTGTCATGCTATAGGTCGTATTGTTTGAAAAAAAATGAGGGGAGATGTTATACCATTGGCCATTCGGATCAGTTTGGCACAAAGAGGGAACAAAATAGTAAGTTTGGTTGGCGATAAAATTAGAAAGACAAAATAATACCACCTGGTACTTGACTTTCACATAAGACATTTTCAGTAATAAATATTGAGTAATTACATTTACATGCTCCATTGCTATAG